ATTTTCTGTACTGACCCCTAAAATCCCTTTTATTTTAAGAAATTTTATTTTCATGACCTAATCACCGAAAGGCAATGCTAAAGTAGTTTTTCGTGTGAAATATTATGAGACTTGATTGCATCCTTTGAAAATAATGGACATCGTATAATTTCAAATTTAACATGGAAATCTCCATAGGGAATTTTAAGGTACTTATAAAACCGGAAGTACTCTACATATCCATACCAAAATTGAAACCTAGAGAGGATATTAGTCTTCAAATAGATTGACAAAGGGAGATAACTCTCTCACAATTGTTTTTGAAAATACTTGAAAATACAAAATTTCAGGTCTCTAAAACTCCTTTAAGGGGTCAAAAAGTGACCCCACGGACCATATTTTTTAGACTGTCCTTTGTATGCTTAAGTCAAATCTGAAAACTATTTGAAAATTTATTGAAAAATAAAAAAGTTTCAGGCAAAGGTCTGTTTTCAAGGTTGGCCCCTAAAAATCCCCTATTTTCAAAAATTTCAATTTAATAATTTGATGAAATCACAACAGTATCAGAGTCATTCAACATACAAAATATTACAAGAAAATGTTGAATACTTTAAGAGATAATGTTCCATGATTAATTTAGCGTGATTTCAAACTTAACATAGAAATCTCCATAGGCAAATTTAAGGCACTCATAAAACCGGAAGTACTTTTCATATGCGTACCAAAATTGAAACATAGACAGCATATAAGGTTCCAACAGGTGGGCAAAGAGAGATATCTCTTCACAAATATTTTCTAAAAGACTTAAAAATGCAATATTTCAGGTCTCTAAAACTCCTATAAGGGGTCAAAAAGTGACCCACGGACCATATTTTTTAGACTGTCCTTTGTATGCTTAAGTCAAATCTGAAAACTATTTGAAAATTCATTGAGAAATAAAAAAGTTATAGGCAAAGGTCTGTTTGCAATGTTGGCCCCTAAAAATCCCCTATTTTCAAAAATTTCAATTTAATAAATTGATGATGTCACAACAGTATCAAAGTCATTCTGCATACAAAATATTGCAAGAAAATATTGAATACTTTAAGAGATAATGTTCCACGATTAATTTTAATTTAAAATAAAACTTTCAAGACCCATAAAACCGGAAGTTCTGTTCTGATTGATATGAAACTTACAATATATGTCCTACTAATAAGTTCTAACATATTTCTATGCTCAAAATAATTTTTTTAGCGTAATTGTGACTTTCAAAAATTTCATCCCCCCTTTTTCAATCTTTGAAGTCTTATATCTCGAAAAGTATTTGTGTTCAAAAATTACGTACGCGCACTTTTTTTTATTGGATTCTGTCTCTAGAATTCATATCTCAAATTTGGGAGTCTCGACTCTAAAATTAAAAATGTTTTCGGCTTCTTTAGAATTTTCAGTTTTCCTTTAGTAGAAACCGGAAGTGACTATTCCGGAAGTTCTCCTTGTTTCACGCACGAGAGATTTTAATTTGCTATTTAGTGGTTACACAATAATATACCTATTTTCAAAGGTACTCCCTAAATGCTGAACGATAGAAGTGTTCAGTATAATAATAATAATAATAACTAGACCTTATTTTTGTCGTTCAACAAAAACGGAGGGCTTTTCGACGCCTAAAAATCAAGAGCTTTAAAAACTTAAATGATATAAAACTCATAAGGTTAAATTTCACAAAAGTTCTTTTAAGATAAATACTGAACTGAAAACATAACGATTCTTTTTGTCCATCATTTTCTACTCAAAGAGAAATAGCTCTTTCATCAATATTTAAAACATATGAAAATGTATTTTTTTTTCAATCCACTAAAACTCATATAAGGGGTCAAAAAGTGACCCCACGGGTAATATTTTTTAAACTGCACTCTTTATGCTTAATGCAAAACCAAAATAAGTTTAAAGATTGCTTAAAAAATACAAAAGATATGGAGAAGAGGCTGTTTTCTGAATTGACCCCTAAAGTCCCTTCTATTTAAGGGATTTTTCTTTCCCTGACATTACCAACTGGAGACAATGATTGAGTCATTATTCATGTTAAATATCACGAGAATCGCTTGCTTCCCTTTTGATATATGGGACATTCTATGATTTCATATTTAACAAAGAAATCTCCATAGAGAATTTTAAGGGCCACATAAAACCGGAAGTACTCTTTATATGCATATCAAAATTCAAACATAGAGAGCATATTAGACTGCAAACAGGTTGACAAAGGGAGATAACTCTTGCATCATTATTTTTAAAATTATTTAAAAATACATAAATTCAGGTCTCTAAAACACCCATAAGGGATCAAAAAATGACCCCACGGACCATCATTTTTAAATTGCCCTTGTCACGCTTAACTCAAAACCTAAATCAGTTTGAAGATCTATGGACAAATAAAAAAGTAATAAACAAAAAACTATTTTCTGTACTGACCCCTAAAATCCCTTTTATTTTAAGAAATTTTATTTTCATGACCTAAGCACCGAAAGACAATGCTAAAGTAGTTTTTCATGTGAAATATTATGAGACTTCCTTGCTTCCCTTTGAAAATAATGGACATCGTATGATTTCAAATTTAACATGGAAATCTCCATAGGCAATTTTAAGGTACTTATAAAACCGGAAGTACTCTACATATCCATACCAAAATTGAAACATAGAGAGCATATTAGTCTTCAAATAGATTGCCAAAGGGAGATAACTCTTGCACAATTATTTTTGAAAATACTTTAAAATACAAAATTTCAGGTCTCTAAAACTCCTTTAAGGGGTCAAAAAGTGACCCCACGGACCATATTTTTTAGACTGTCCTTTGTATGCTTAAGTCAAATCTGAAAACTATTTGAAAATTTATTGAGAAATAAAAAAGTTATAGGCAAAGGTCTGTTTTCAATGTTGGCCCCTAAAAATCCCCTATTTTCAAAAATTTCAATTTAATAAATTGATGATGTCACAACAGTATCAAAGTAATTCTGCATACAAAATATTACAAGAAAATATTGAATACTTTAAGAGATAATGTTCCACGATTAATTTCAATTTAAAATAAAACTTTCAAGACCCATAAAACCGGAAGTTCAGTTCTGATTGATATGAAACTTACAATATATGTTCTACTAATGAGTTCTAACATATTTCTATGCTCAAAATAATTTTTGTAGCGTAATTGTGACTTTCAAAAATTTCATCCCCCCTTCTTCAATGTTTGAAGTCTTATATCTCGAAAAGTATTTGTGTTCAAAAATTACATACGCGCACTTTTTTATTGGAATATGTATCTAGAATTCATATTTCAAATTTGGGAGTTCAGACACTGAAATTAAAAATGTTTTTGGCTTCTTTAGAATTTTCAGTTTTCCTTTCGTAGAAACCGGAAGTGACTATTCCGGAAGTTGTTCTTGTTTCACGCACGAGAGATTTTAATTTGCTATTTAGTGGTTACACAAAAATATACCTATTCTCAAAGGTACTCCCTAAATGCTGAACGATAGAAGTGTTCAGTATAATAATAATAATAATAATAATAAACAAGACGAAAACAATAGGTCTTTTCGACAAAAGTCGAAAAGCCCTAATAACTAGACTTTTTTTTGTCGTTCAACAAAAACGGAGGGCTTTTCGATCCATTAAAATCAAGAATCTTAGAAAAAATTCAACGTTACAGAGTACTAACTGATATGGTAAAAATCTCAAAAGTTCTAAATCAATATTTATTTGGAGACATAATGAATCTCTATGTACTTCAACAGCTACACAAAGAAACATACATGTAACTCTTTTATGATTTTTTTTAAAAATATGAAAAGTACTGTTTTCAAACCACTAAAACTTCTATAAGGATTTTAAAAAAATTACCCTACGGTCCATATTTTTTATATTGCACTCTGTATACTCTATTTAGTTTGAAGATTGGTTGAAAAATAAAAAAAAGTTAAAGAAAAGAAACAATTTTCAGTACTGACCCCTGAAATCCCTTCTATTTTCGAATTTTTTATTTCCATGACCTAACCACCTGGTCCCAGGATCATGAAACAGACTTAGTTAAGTCAATTTTTTAATTGCCTGTAAAATGTTAATTAATTATTGAACGAATCACTAATTTTGCAAATAACAACAATATTTTAAAGTACAATTTAATTTTTGTCAACTTAACTTTATCAAAATTCTATTACAATATGAATATTTTAACTTATGCTTAAGATGTTTCATGATCCTGAGGCCAGATGACAATGCTGGAGTTATAATTCATGTATGATTCACAAGAATCGTGATTTGCAATTTTGTTTTATGTGTGAAAATTTAATAATTTATGTTTAATAGAAAATATTTCCTAAATCGTCCTTGTCAGACAGATTGACAGCAATAAATATTGTAGTGAGCTCACAAATGTTCCTTAGATCTTATAAGACATACATAAGAAATTAAGAATTCATGGTATTTACAGTATTTATAACTCATTCTTGAGTAAGCCAAGTTTGTAATTGACCTTGGCATTTGATCTTGAATGTTAATCAGTGTCTGAATGAGGAATTAAAATATTTGACACATGTTACTTAGATCTTATAAAACATGCATAAGAATTCACAGTATTTACATCATTTATAACACATTCTTGAGTAAATCTTGTATTTGACCTTGACATTTGATCTTAAATTTTTCAGTGTTTAAATGAGGAAAAAATACTTTATCAAGTTCACAATATTTTTATTCAGGGTGATTCCTCAACAATGTTTAACATTTTTAAAATATTCCATTACCATGAAACAAATTCATTAAAAGTATCCATGTACAGCATTCATGAATAGTGATGAATTTCAATGCCAAGATCACAGATACATGTATTGTTTAAATTTAAGTTTATCAATGTTTTTATTACAGTTGTATAATGTTTTCTATTCATATGATTTGGCTTCCTTATCTGTCGCTCAAATTGAATTTCAAATGTCAGAGTTATTGTCAGAGAGATTGTCATAAACCAAACAGTTAAACAAAATGTTAACAATGCACAGAAAACAAATACTGATCTCCTTAATAAAAGCACCTTGAGTTCAGACTAAGGAATCTTTGACAGTGGTTTGAACATCTTTCATTATTTAGTCTAACAGCATATGAGATGAACTGCAATCTGTACAACTGCAAATGTGCAGGGTTGTCCTGAAAAAAAGAAAAAAAAAATTATAGGCACATAGATTCTAAATTTTTTCATACACATAAAAACTGTTTTTCATTGTGATTATCTTCCACATTTCATGTACAATTGACTTTAATTTCACCTTTTTCTCTCCCAAAGCAATGTATTTAGAAATCATGAAAAAAATAAAATCTTTTACTACAACCTCTGTCGTATAAAAAGTTTAAAAAATCTAATTTAACATAATTTACTTGTATAATGTATTTAGAAATCATGAAAAAAATAAAATCTTTTACTACAACCTCTGTCGTATAAAAAGTTTAAAAAATCTAATTTAACATAATTTACTTGTATATTATTATTCATTTTATCTTGTCGACTTGCTAACAAGTACGAATACATTTGTCAGAATGACTTTTCTCTATTTTCTGCTTGTATTTATCTATTTAATGTTTTTTTTCTTTTTTTGTCTTGAAATTTGAATATAAAAAAGAAGAAGAAAATATATAATGAGAACAACATGATGACCAAAACAATTCAACATTGTTTTCAGTTTTACTCTCTAGACTTTTAAAAGAAAAAAATCACTTGTTCTGAAAATCTACATGTCATCTCAACTCAGATAATGATGTTTATGTATTTTAATGACCATGCAAAAATACATGATAAAAAATCAAATCATACATACTTTTTAGATTAAAATCCTTTATACTGTGATGACGTATGAGTGCATGCAAAACCATACTCTGTAATAATGAATTTTAAAAGATTAACTTTCATAAATCACAATACATCATACACACAATGTATGTACAGTGCTTGATGAGCTTATCAAACATTTAAACAGTTGCATTAGAAATGGTCATAATGATTCTACATTCATTTATCATAAATTGCACTGAAATGAAAGAAACTATTTTCTAACCTTACTAGGGAAATGATAATAGTAACAAACTGATTAAGGCATGATACATATAATTGTTTTAGTCTAAGAGCTCATTGATAGCTGATTGAATCATGTGACAGAGTATTTGTAAATATTTACCCCCCTTCTATCTACACTACTTCTTTTTTCCGCACACAATTTTTGTTTATCTCAAATGGAGTAAAATGTTACTAGTTAAAGTCATTAGAATATTGTTAAAAGGGAGAAATATGTGTAAAAATGCTACACACTGTACAGTTGACAGTGTGTAGTATACTTACATGTTCTTGCACATCATCTACCGGTATTCAAGTCCGCTCTTGACGGTTCCTGTTGAATTATCCAAACAAACAGAGCATATTTAACACAAAAACATGTTATTACACTTTTAAACAAGTAAGAATCCGTTAAATCATCCAAACAAGCTGAAGAAATACGTTCTTTCGATGTCTGGACTCTTCGTCAAATTCTTCCGGTGATCGTTCACGGTTAGATCGTACGCCGTATTACTCGAAGTTTATAATGTAAAACTGTGTTTAAAAAAAAGAATGTTTCATTTTCTATTGTAATTTTATAAATAGTTATTTTGTAAACATTTTATATCGCATTTCTTTTTCGTAATTTATTCTGAAATATGATCGAATTTGATTGGTTGTAGGACAGGATAGGATTGGATTAACTTTTATATGTTTCTATCGGAAATCCTCAATCCTGAATCCTATCCGATACCATCCCATGTCAACTTGTGGGATAGCAGCACTGAATTAACATTTGCTATTCAGTAGTTATAAAACAAAATACTTAATTTGAAAACTACTCCTTAAATGCTGAACGAATAATGTGCTTAGAAAAATGATTTTCAAATTTTTCAGAATTCTTTACAAAAGACTCCATAGAAACTTTCTGGTAAGGAAGTTTAGTGGTCATTGTTTCATTTACCTAAAAGATATACATTTTATCGGCTAAAAAAAAAGCATTAAATAAAAGAAATTCAGAAGTGCCTAAAATTCCTTAACTGATTATCGGGAAAACAAATTATACGTTTTATCAAGAATTTCTTTATATATCGATCTTTGATGTCATTGGCTTCTCTGATTATAATTACTTAATTTCTTTTCAGATATTCATCTTCTTTTTCAAACATCAAATTTAAAAAGATAAAAATAATTTAAAAAGACGATAACAATAGGTCTTTTCGACAAAAGTCGAAAAGCCCTAATAAAAGACAAAACACAGCTCCGCTTACTTGGATTATTGTCGTTCATATGATCCTGACCTTTGACCTTTGATGTTTAAGACACAGTAAAACCTTTAGAAAGCTAGGATTTGTGTAATATCTATTTTCTTTACGTTCCTCTCCCCTTTCTTCCCTGCGCAATGGCAACGTAGATTTTTTATCTAAACTCTAAACCAGACATCGTATTAACACAATTTTTTTCAGAATACTTTACTAGAGACTCCATATAAACTTTCTGGAAAGTTTAGTGGTCATTGTTTCATTTACCTAAAAGATATACATTTTATCGGCTAAAAAAAAAAAAACACATTAAATAAAAGAAATTCAGAAGTGCCTAAAATTCCTTTACTGATTATCGGGAAAACAAATTATACGTTTTATCAAGAATTTCTTTATATATCGATCTTTGATGTCATTGGCTTCTCTGATTATAATTACTTAATTTCCTTTCAGATATTCATCTTCTTTTTCAAACATCAAATTTATTTCAATTTTATTTATAATCAATTCATTTTGTAAAATGTGCTTTTACTGATCATGAAATAAGATTCATGTTTTTACCCCTGTACCTGCTGCTAATATAATTGGACATAATTTGACTTTAATTTATAAAAGTCCGTCTACGAAACCCTCCAGGATCCACGCCCGTATTTCAGTTCTACGCATTTCAGGTAGCATCGACTTTAGTTTCGTACTAAAGTCCCGGTCAAATATCTTAAAACAGTGAGATCTCTCATGTTTGTTATGATATCCGATGCAGCAAAATGAAAGGAAGCATTATGGGATACATTGCCAGTCTAGCAGAGCGCTTGTTGAAAAAGTATAGCTACGCAGCTAACAGGACCAAACCTTACTTTTGCTTTCTACGCTCGCCAACCGATCAAAGAACGATAACTCTAATTACGCGGTAAAATCAAGAAAACTCCAAAAGTACTGTTTTTCAGGTCTCTGAAACCCCTATAAGGAGTCAAAAAGTGACCCCACGGCCCACAATTTTTAAACTAAACTCTTTATGCTGAACTCAAATCTGAAAAGTATTTGAAAATTCGTTAAGAAATAAAAATGTTACGGGCAGAGGTCTGTTTTTAATTTTGGCCCCTTAAAAATCCCTTACTTTTCCGAATTTCATTCTGGTAATCTAATGAGGTCGGAACAGTATCAAAGTCAATTTGAATTAAAAATATCATAAAAATATCTTGACTATTTCAAGAAAAAATGTGCCACGGCCGATTCCAATTTAACATAGAAACTCCCATAGAGAATGTTTAACGTCCAGTAAAACTGGAAGTTCTGCTCGGACTGATACAAAACGTACAGAATATGTTCTACTCATTTGTCTTAATCGGTGCTCAGTGCTCAAATTAATTAAATAGTGTTTATTGCGACTTTTGCCAAATCCATCCCCCCTTCTTAAATGTTTGAAGTCTTATATCTCGAAAAAGTATCTATGGTCAAAAATCAACTACGATCACTTTTGGATAGGAATAGTTCTCTAAAATTTATATCTTGAACCTGGTGGTTAGAACATTAAAAATTAAAATGAATTTGGCTTCTTTAGAAATTTCAGTTTTCCTTTAGTAGAAACCGGAAGTAATTAAACCGGAAGGCCAAAACCTTACATACAGGAGATATTCACATTTGCTTTTTAGTGATGACAAAACAAAATACCTATTTTTAAAGCTACTCCTTAAATGCTGAACGAAAAAATTGCTAAGAAAAATAATTTAAAAAGACGATAACAATAGGTCTTTTCGACAAAAGTCGAAAAGCCCTAACTAGACCTTATTTTTGTCGTTCAACAAAAACGGAGGGCTTTTCGACCCCTTAAAGTAAATAATCATAAAAGAAAAATCAATATTTTACAATAAAAAAAATCTTATAATACAATATTGCAAAAATTCTTTTGAGATCAATATTTGATTTGAAACATAACAATTCTCTTTGTACATCATTGTCTACTCAAAGAGACATAACTCTTTCGTGGTTATTAAACAGATTCGAAAATGTACTGTTTTTCAATCCACTAAAACTCGTATAAGGGGTCAAAAAGTGACCACACGGCCCATAATTTATAAAGTGTACTCTTTATACTTGATGAAATGTCAAAATAAGTTTGAAGATTGGTTGAGTATTACAAATGTTACAGAGAAAAAGCTGTTTTCTTTGCTGACCCCTAAAATCCTTTGTATTTTAGGGATATTTATTTTCATGACCTTAGCATCTGAAGACAATGCTAGAATCAGAATTCATATGAAATTTCACCAGAATTGCTCGCCTACCTTTTGAGATAATGGAACAATCATGATTTAAAATTTAACATAGAAATCTCCATAGGCATTTTTAAGGCACTTATAAAACCGGAAGTACACCTCATATGCATACAAAAAATTGAAACATAGAGATCATATTAGACTCCAAACAGGTTGACAAAGGGAGATAACTCTTGCACAATTATTTTTGAAAATACTTGAAAATCAAAAATTTCAGGTCTCTAAAAGTCCTTTAAGGGGTTAAAAAGTGACCCCACGGACAATAATTTTTGAATTGCCCTCTTTATGCTTAATTCAAAACAGAAATCAGTTTGAAGATCTATGGACAAATAAAAAAGCAATATACAAAAAACTAATTTCTGTACTGACCCCTAAAATCCCTTTTATTTAAAAAAAATTTATTTTCATGATCTAAATATCGAAAGGCAATGCTTAAGTCATTATTTATGTGAGATATCATGTGACTTGCTTGCTTCCCATTGAAAATAATGGACATTGAATGATTTCAAATTTAACATAGAAATCTCCATAGGCAATTTTAAGGTACTTATAAAACCGGAAGTACTCTACATATCCATACCAAAATTGAAACATATTTGAGAGCATATTAAACTCCAAACAGTTTGCCAAAGGGAGATAACTCTTGCACAATTATTTTTGAAAATACATATAAATACAACATTTCAGGTATATAAAACACCCAAAAGGGGTCAAAAAGTGACCCCACGGACCATAATTTTTAAATTGCTCTTCTTATGCGGAACTCAAAACTGAAATCAGTTTTGATATTGGTGGATAAATAAAAAAGAAATGCACAAAAATCTAATTTCTTCACTGACCCCTAAAATCCCTTTTATTTTGAGAAATTTCATTTTCATGACCTTAGCACCCAAAGGGAATACTAAAGTAATTAATTTTGTGAAAAATCATGCGACTTGCTTGCTTCCCTTTGAAAATAATCGACATCGTATGATTTCAAATTGAACATAAAAATCTCCATATACAATTTTAAGGTACTTATAAAACCGGAAGTACTCTACATATCCATATCAAAATTGAAACATAGAGAGAATATTAAACTCCAAACAGTTTGCCAAAGGGAGATAACTCTTGCACAATTATTTTTGAAAATACTTAAAAATACAATATTTCAGGTCTATAAAAGTCCTTTAAGGGGTCAAAAAGTGACCCCATGGACCATAATTTCTAAATTGAAATTTTGTTGCTGAACTCAAAGCTGAAATCAGTTTGAAGATTTATTAACAAATATAAGAGTTACAGGGCAAAAACGATTTTAAGAGTTAACCCCTAAATGTCCCTAACTTTTAGGGATTTAATTTTCATAACATTTTCACCGGAAGACAATAATAAATCAATTATTCCTTGTTAATATTTCTAGATTCGCTTGCTCTCCTTCTGAGATAATGGAACATTAATGATTTTTTTTTTACTATAGAATCTCCCATAGACAATTTCAAAGCCTCATAGAACCGGAAGTTCGGTTCCGATGGACATGATACTCACATCATAGCCTTTAATTACTTTGATAAGCAGTATATAATCATCAAAATAAATTTCCGACATTGTTTTAAAAATTTTTGATTTCAATCCCCCCTTTTCTTACCTTGGAGCCCTATAACACAAAAATATACGATAGGTGCAAAAACACTAACGATGACTTTTTTGTAGATATTACTTTGAGGAATATATTCCTAAATTTTGAAAGATATTGCATGTAAAATAAGGGAAGTTTTAGGCTTAAAAGAAAATTTAGTTTCTGACTTATAAATACCGGAAGTGACGTTTACAGAAGTACAAAACCTAAGATACACAAGATATTTAAAAGTTCTTTTTAATATTTATAAAAGTAAATCCATATGCTCAAAGACTTTCTTCATATCCATGACATAAAAAACGCTAAGAAATAAAATAATAATAAAAAAGACGAAAACAAT